TTATCTTGGAAAAAAGCTTGCAGAAAATACAGATTTTTGAGAATCACCCTTCAATCTTTTGGTTTACTTTGCTGGATATAGCAAATGATGAAAAAATAAATGTTTAAAACAAGATAAATAGTCTATGCTTAATTTCATGAAGTGTGCGATTAATCACAGAAAAAGGATGTGATTAAATAGATTAAAAATTAATTGATGGACAGCCCTAATGCATATGTGTGTGTGTGTGTATATATATATTGGTCACAACACATCTTATTGTCTTTAATAGCTTGAAATCTCTAATAATCTTTCTTATCAACATGGTCAGACTTTGATGCCATTTACACATAAACAAGAGCAGATTTATGAGCAGTATTTTTACCCCCCTTGAATATCTTTAATGCTATAAGGAAAAATTAGATTTCACTATTTTTGCATTCACTCACAAACATTTTGCATTTCCCTGAGAAACTTTGTGTTCGATAGCAAAACTTTTGATGTGAAGTGGGATGAAAAACAATATACCTTTTACATTTGCCCACAAATATTTGACATTTTTCTGAGAAACTTTGAATTCAATCTCAAAAGGTTGTGCATTCCCCTTAGAAATGTTGTTCATGTAGCATAACTTTGAATATTAAGTGGGATGAAAAACGACATGCCAATGCTTTTATGTTTGCCTGCAAAAATGTAGAATTTCTCAGAGAAATGTTGTTAGCAAAACTTGTAAAATGAAAACTTAATGAAAACTTGTAAAATTAGATCAAGTACAAGAAAGTTTCTTGGGGGAAAGCATATTTTTCCTCCCATTGCATTTGTGTCCATCATGTCCCCGGCTTAGGTGCTCTGTATAATGCAAATAAATTGTCAATAAAAAAATACATATATTTATTCTGTATGACTTTAATGCATAACAAACTCTCAAAAGTATTTTTCCAAAAGAGACCACAATGATGCCTGTAGTCCAAAGGCTTCACGTGCTACAGCCGTTTCCATTTCTGTGTTCAAAAGCTGGCTGCAGGTTAACAGCACAAGTTGATTAAAAGCCATCAAACGACCATCATTTACATCACAATCCAATCTAAACGCATAAAGCACGTCTGATTGTTGGACTCTCTTCGGCCCGCCACATGTGTGATTTTCCTGCAGAGAATCGTGATGAGTAATATTGTGTGGTACTAAGAGTGGGTGGCGTAAATAAACTCAATTTCATACTCTCACAAGGCTGCGGCAGATGCCTGGGGCAGATGATGTAAATACAGCGGGCTCGGCTCCCTGAGAGAGTAAGACTGATAATTACCATTGCACATTATGACAGCGACACTTCCCCCTCCTCAGTGTCATCACTTACCACTTTCCTCCTTATCACGGCGTGTAGACGGCCGTCATAAGCCTCATACACAGTATTCCAGCCCATCGTTTTTCCTGCACCGATAAAGGTTAAATGTGGACTTTGATGTCATTTCTGAAGACCCAGAAACCTTGCAGGAAGATGTGAATTCTCTGTAGAGACAGTGCGGGCCTTTTTTTTTTTGATAAGGGATGGATGGTTTTTAGTCTGGGATTTCATTTAAAGCCACAAGCTATGAAAAACTTTGAATGTCAGTCGGCCTGAACAGGTGACTGCAAAAGCAGTGACCTTTACTCTTAAAAAGGATAGCAGAAACGCATCAAACGAAGCCTCAGACCATTCCCCAGACAGCACTCGCTCAACGTGAGTTGATGCGTTTTTTTTAAGACATCTTATGACTGTGTATTTTTGCTTTAACCTGTGGAGTTTGTCTCATGGGGTTGTTAAAGCTGAGAGAAAGCACTGTAGCGTCTCTTAAATATCAACGTTTCAGGATTGAGTTTCAGATAGTGGATGCACAATGTACAGTATATCATGTGACATGGTTCACTTTAACATTCATTTTCTAGCATTCAGCCTTTATTCAGTAGTGCTAAATGTATTATCACAATGATTCACTGACCTGTACATCCCTGGTCAGGATTTTCTTTAAATAACAATCTGAATAAGTTCTTCAATTTACTCTGAATATGAACCTGGAGAATGTTGCATGTGCATAATGATGTTGTTGTAACTGATGTAACTTAAATAATGTTGCTTTTCAGTTAAAACAACTGAAGTTTGCCTTTACATACTTTTCAATTAAATTATATATATATATATATATATATATATATATATATAAA